AATGTGTGTGTGTGTGTGTGAGAGAGAGAGAGAGAGGAGGATGCATGAAGAAAGAATGCATGATTAATTTATGACAAAATGAGACCACATATATTCTATTTTATATGAGCAATTTGAGTTGGTTATTCTCATATTTCTCATTCTATAGATCTCTCGCATATTAGATTTGTGAAATTCTGCTTCCCAAAGGTTCACCAAACTCTCTCTCTCTCTCTCTCTCTCTCTCTCTCTCTCTCTCACATTGTTATTTTGAGTTGTGGTTTTCCATTCTTCCCCCGATTCTAATCATTTTCTTGGTTATAAACAGCTTTCACAATATAATGAGGCGCAATTTCTGTGAATTAGAGCATCCCAACCCAGTAATGTACTAGGATGGGCGGAACTACCCTATGGGGTACAGCCCACTGTAGCTCAAGGAGCCTTTTGGGGTTAAAAAAAAACCTGTATATATTAAATCAATAATGCTACTTTTACCACATTTCCATAACATAGGATATAGCATCTTTTATTTGGACATGCCACCTCATTTAATTTAATTTTATGTTTTTTTAATTTTTTAATTAAAAACCCTAGTAAAAGAAATTGATTAGATCTTATGTTTTATTCTCCACTCCATCTCTTTCTTCTCTCTCCACCTCCTCCCTTCTTCTCCTTCCAGCCATTCTCTGTTCTCAATTTTCTTTAGTTGATTTTTATTTGATTTCTAGCAAACCATCTTTTCTTTCCTTTTTACTTTTATAACGAATGATTTTATCTAATTGTTTCTTTGAAAATTAAAGGTGTCGAAAAGGAAGAAAAATGTCTATATCATGTTAGGGTTATGGGCTATTGTTCATGGACTATCTACGATGATTGGTCTTTTCCTATTAATTGCACTGATCCTGCTGTGTTTTTTTAATTTACTCTTTTGTATATCTTTTGTGTTGTTTTTTCCATTTGTTCTGGAAATTAAGGAGGAGGGATGGAGGATGAAGGGTTTAGGGTTTAGGGTTTAGAGGGACTTTCAAGAGGGAGGACGAAATTGATTGGGGGGAGACGGAGAATGATGGAGGAGGACGCAAGAATATGAGAAGTCTGACAAGTTTATAATTATAATAATTATTAAATATATTAAGCGAAATGAATGAAAAATCAGATAACTTAAAATGAAATTAAATGAGGTGGCATGTCCAAGTAAAATGCCACATTATGTGGTATGAAAATGTAGTATACAAAATGTGGTAATAGTACGTAGCATTACTCATATTAAATATAGTTCATTAAAGTTTTCAAAAAAAAAAAGCCAAATATTTATGAATTTAGTTGCAGTTTAGCAATAAAAATAAAATAAGTACACTTTCAATTATGTTGTTGAACATATTTTATTTTGATAATATGTGTTTTTTAGTTGCATTTAATATGTATTTGTTTTATGTTTTAAAAAAAAAAATTGTCTAATTTATGTTAAAATTTATTGAAAATTAGTTAATATAGCTATGAACTAACATGGTAAGTGTAGCATTACTCATATAATAATAAGAGGATTTCACTCATAACCCAAAATAATTAAATAAGTATATTGCATTTTTTGTGGGAAACACGGGAAAGTGAAAATTGAAATTGGTTGTGAAGAAGATAGTTGGCCTAAGAAAGAGAAAAGCTGCCCTTTATATTATACACAAATTATTCTACTCCCAAAAGAATTGAATGTAGTATTTGACTGAAACAAAGCTGCCCATTTTTTCAAATATGGATTCCTAATTTTTCTCGTAGTTATTTTTTATAAATATTATATATTAATAAATAAAATAAAAGATATTTTTTATTCTGATTTTAAAAAAATGGTTTTTCTTTTTATGATAAAAAAAGATGATCAAAGATGTTGAAAAAAATAGTCTGATAAAAAGGTAGTTTAAAAAAATATAATTCCAGTCCAGTACCAAACAGGGTTTATGTAGAGAATGGGTTGTTATACCTCTCTCACTCGTTCCGTCGGAGTAGGAAAAGAACTGCGAAGCACAACTGTTCCGCTGGTAATCAGAGCAATCTTCTATGCTTTTCCCTTGCTGCCCATCTTTGTATCGCCCTATATTACAAATCATATGTTTAACACTAGTCCTGTTTATGTCTAAGTTATAGAGATTGGGTTGTTAGATCTGCATGTTGTTTATGACGATTAGGGTTCGATTTTGGGTGTAGAATCTGGAAAGTCATGTTTTGCATATTAGGGTTTAGGGTTTAAGGTTCTTTTTTTAATGATATGATTCTCTTTCCTGAAAATTACCTATGGGCATCATATACAGATAAGATACCCGATTAGATAATATTGTGTAACAATTTACGTTATGGGATTTACATATCCCCATAATTGATGTTATAATTGAAACTATTTTTTTTTGTATTGAAACAAAATCTATACGAATACGAGTGTGGCCCTTAATTACTTGTCTTTTAAATACCTCTCACTTGTTTTCCATTTTGTGTCTAGCTTGCACATGGAGGGGGAATGCTCGATGTTGGTAAAGCAGGAGAGCACTTATAAATCTGTGTTCATATTGGCGCATACCTTTAGAAGAGCCTGTCAAGGATATTTATTTGAGGTCAAAATAGGGCAAGGATCAGGAGATATTATGGGGGCAAGAGAAGGAATACCAGTCCCAATAGATGCTCAAGATCGATCCCCACTGCTTCATCCTGTAACCAAGTTCTTTGATGATGAGAAGAGTCATACGGCTTTCAGTTACATTGGTTCTTTGGTGGCTGTGACGTTCAAAGGCCCCTCCAAGTTATATATGTTGGTAACTGCTCCTGTTGAACCTAAGCCTTACCTTAGGTCCACGAAACTAAAGCCGAAAGGGCGTGTTTTCGACACAGAGACCAAGTCATTCTATAAATTCAAACGCCCCAAATGATTCGGGGAAGGGGCAAATTTGATCCCTGCGTATGGGAAGCTTTATCATCTTGGAAGGTGCAGACTTAGAGAAGGACCAGCGTTTAAGCGGTATGATCCCTACAATGACTGTTGGGAGCCCCTGCCACATGTTCCTGCTAAACTCTTTCGGGGCGTATGGACGTTAACTGGTTACGCCATTTACGGGGATAATATTTTGGTTTCATTTAGGCCCTACAAAAATAAAGTTTTTGCTTTTCATGTAATTGAAAATAAATGGCATCATGTGTCGGGTACCGTCTCTATTCAGGGGAGGGCTGTGGTTGTAGGTGATACCATCTATGCCTTAAGCACCGCATTCCAGATGGTTAAGTTCTCCTTTGATTCTAGTATGTATTCTATAACCATAAAACAGGTACTAAGGGGTTTGGAAAACGTGAGACGGTATGCTATGGGAGAACGTTTTAATAATTACTCAGAGTATATGGTTCATTTGGGGAACTTGGAATTTTGTCGTGTTTGCACTGCCGTCGATAACTCTGGTGGTGGTCGTCAACCTATTTGGATCACCACCTTCCAAATTGTGGACAGTCCCCATATCAAGATCTTGCATTCAGCTGTTTTTGATGTGGACATGACCAATTACTACATCTATCATAGCTTCACTCCGTACGTTTCTTTTCCTTCTCATCCTTCATGTTTCTCTTTAATTTATTGTTCTCCCTATAAATTCAAAGCTGCCCTTTTTTTAAGATATGGATTCCTAATTTTTCTCGTAGTTATTTTTTATAAATATTGTATACTAATAAAAATAAAAAAAGATATTTTTTATTCTGATTTTTTAAAAATGGTTTTTCTTTTTATGATAAAAAAAGATGATAAAAAATGTTGAAAAAAATAATCTGATAAAAAGGTAGTTTAAAAAAGTATAATTCCAGTCCAGTACCAAACTACCTTTTGGGTGTAGAATCTGGAAAGTCATGTTTTGCATATTAGGGTTTAGGGTTTAAGGTTCTTTTTTTAATGATATGATTCTCTTTCCTGAAAATTACCTATGGGCATCATATACAGATAAGATACCCGATTAGATAATATTGTGTAACAATTTACGTTATGGGATTTACATATCCCCATAATTGCTGTTATAATTGAAACTATTTTTTTGTATTGAAACAAAATCTATACGAATACGAGTGTGGCCCTTAATTACTTGTCTTTTAAATACCTCTCACTTGTTTTCCATTTTGGGTCTAGCTTGCACATGGAGGGGGAATGCTCGATGTTGGTAAAGCAGGAGAGCACTTATAAATCTGTGTTCATATTGGCGCGTACCTTTAGAAGAGCCTGTCAAGGATATTTATTTGAGGTCAAAATAGGGCAAGGATCAGGAGATATTATGGGGGCAAGAGAAGGAATACCAGTCCCAATAGATGCTCAAGATCGACCCCCACTGCTTCATCCTGTAACCAAGTTCTTTGATGATGAGAAGAGTCATACGGTTTTCAGTTACAATGGTTCTTTGGTGGCTGTGACGTTCAACGACCCCTCCAAGTTATATATGTTGGGTAACTGCTTCTGTTGAACCTAAGCCGGAAGGGAGTGTTTTCGACACAGAGACCAAGTCATTCTATAAATTCAAACGCCCCAAATCATTCGGGAGAGGGGCAAATTTGATCCCTGCGTATGGGAAGCTTTATCATCTTGGAAGGTGAGGACTTAGAGAAGGACCAGCGTTTGAGCGGTATGATCCCTGCAATGACTGTTGGGAGCCCCTGCCACATGTTCCTGCTGGACTCTTTCGGGGCATGGGGGCGGTAACTGGTTATGCCATTTACGGCGATAATATTTTGGTTTCATTTACGCCCTACAGAGATAATGTTTTTGCTTTTCATATAATTGAAAATAAATGACATCCTGTGTCTGGTAGCATCTCTATTCGGGGGAGGGCTGTGGTTGTAGGTGATACCATCTATGCCTTAAGCACCGCATTCCAGATGGTTAAGTTCTCCTTTGATTCTAGTATGTATTCTATAACCACAAAGCAGGTACTAAGGGGTTTGGAAAACGTGGCACCGTATGCTATGGGAGAACGTTTTGATAATTACTCAGAGTATATGGTTCATTTGGGGAACTTGGAATTTTGTCGCGTCTGCACTGCCGTCGATAACTCTGGTGGTGGTCGTCAACCTATTTGGATCACCACCTTCCAAATTGTGGACACTCCCCATATCAAGATCTTGCATTCAGCTGTTTTTGATGTGGACATGAAAGATTACTACATCTATTATAGCTTCACTCCGTACGTTTCTTTTCCTTCTCATCCTTCACATTTCTCTTTAATTTATTGTTCTCCCTATAAATTCAATATACTTAGTTGCTTCTATGATTTTTGATATTATTTTATGACTTAGAGATTGCGAGGATGACGAACCCAAAGGAGAAGAAACTAAGGTGAAATTAATACATGAATGAATCAGATTCTACAAGTGTGTGAGTTTTATATAGTTTCTGATAATATACATAAACTAAGTTGGGGTTCAATTCACAGGGACCACAGGAAAAGAGATGCAAGCGGAAAAAGAGATGCAAGCGAAAAAGAGATTGCATAGAGTAGAGAGTTCAGAGTTTAATCTCCAGCTGCTTAATTAGTTTCTCTCATCATTGATCATTCTGTCTTGGATCAAATAACTTGTAATCAGTACATTTATTTATGTGCATGCTTTTGAGATATTGATGATGTATTCACTGAGAGCATCCACAATGATGCTCTCTATTTCTTAGCTAAAATTTGGCTAAGAATATAAGAAAGCTATTTTAGGAGCTCTCTAAAAAATTTCAACTCCAACCATACTCCCTAATTTGGAGAGTCATAAATGCTATAACTCTTTTTTGATTGGTCCATCTCTATTAAAAAATAAAATAAAAAATGGTTAGCATTAAATAAAAGTTTGAAATACTCATTAAATAAAGCAGCATTAAATTATAGGGAGCCACTAGGAGTCCTTTCTCTCTCCTCAGATTTAGGAGCTCCTAGAGGACTCCCTATTTTAGGAGGTGGATAGGGAGCGGTTGGAGTTGTATTTTTATCATTCCTCCCTAAAATTTGTCTAAGGAGGTGGTTTAATGAGCCCATTGTGGATGCTCTGATATTGGTGAAAAAAATATATCTTAATTTTTTTTCGATTATTGTTACATCTTCAGATCTGGTTTCCCTAATATGGGTTCCAGAATTTGCATTTCTTCTTTTCATGTTTTTATAGAATTTTTTTTTTTTTTTTTTTTGTAGATATGGATTCCTGATTTTTCTCGTAATTATCTTTTTATAAATATTGTACAATAATTTTTAAAGGGAGTTGATTTTCCCACTCCCTTTTTCTCCACTTACACTCCCTTTTGCTTTTTAATACTTTTTAATCAATTTTGTTCTTTCTCTTTCCTATTCTATCTTTATCCTATATTAATTTTTTTTTACTTCACTTTTATATTATTTATTTTTCTTTATACTTAATTTTCCGACCTACACTCCATTTTCAGTATTAAAAGAAAAAACCTTAATTTCTTACTTGATTAAAGGAAAAAAAATATTGAAAATAGAGATATTGAAAATAGAGTGCAAGGTGGAAAAGTAAGTATAAAGAAAAAGAACTAATATAAAAGTGAAGTAAAAAGAAATTAATGTAGGGTAAGGGTAGAATAGGAAAGAGAAAGAACAAAATTAAGGGTAGAATATGAAAGTGAAAGAACAAAATTGATTAAAAAGTAAAATGGAGTGTAAAGTGGAGAAAATAGGAGCGGATAAATCAAATCCCTTTTTATTTTTTTATTTTTTATTTATTTATAATTTTAATTTTTAAAAAAGAGAGTTTTATTATGATAGAAAAAATGGTTTTTCTTTTTTTAATAAAAAAAGATGATCCTTATATGATAAATAAAGAAAGATGTTGAAAGAATTTGGGTTATGATTTTTCCAATCCTCTAATGTTTTTTTAAAATATTTTTTACTATAAAAAAAAAAGGTGTAAGTGGATAAAAGAGGAGTTAAAAAATAAATTTTCAAAAATTAATTTGATAAAAAGGTAGTTAAAAAAAAATATAATTCCTGTCCAATCTCAAAAAGTGTGTCATCATCAACCAAGGTGGTTGGTGTGAGTGGTTCGGCACTCTCATTCCTTAAGAGAAGGTCAGGGGTTCGATCCTTGCTCTCGTATGGAGTCACCACTTTGGCCAGCACTTTACCCCTTACGGGCCGACCCGGTGTGAGCGGGGATTAGTCTGGGTTGTGGTTAAGGCTTAAAGGTGCCACCCATAGTTGGGGCCCATCCAGGACCACCTCGTGGTTCAAACCAAAAAAAAAAAAAGTGTGTCATCATCATACAATGGCTAGGATTGAAAGTCTGGTTGAGTCTCAATCAGTCCAGTTCATAATATAAAATCCAATCCAATCTTGTTCTTACTGGCTCACCAAACAAGGCCTTATCACACAAAACAATAAAATTATCATGCAAGACAAACAAGAAAAATAAATTAAAAAGACAAAACCGTGTAGATAAATGCAATAGTTTCAATGAGAAAACGTACCACAAAAAGATTTTGAATTTTGAAATTTGCGAGAAAATCAGAGTAAGTCTTGAATGAAACGTAGTTGCCCTTTACGTTATACACAAATTGTTCTACTCGAAAAAGAATTAGTAGTCCAAGACTTGCGAGGGTTAGGAAATTATGTTCACCACCTGGCATCTGCTCGATAGAATGCCCCAACGAACCTCGACAGTCTGCTGCCTGTTTTTTTTATTTTTATTCTTTATTTTTTTAAAATTTAAATTTTATAGCCTCGGAAAGAGGACGTCGTTTCGGCCCAGGTTTTTTCCATTTCCCCAGCCCGACATCTCAAAAAACTCCAGAATTTCTAATTTTCTGTCTAATTGCTCCTCAAGTCCTAAGCCCGAGGTCCCCAACCCCCACCTGCTGCCGTCGTCCGGAAGCTGCTGTGCCTCCGCCACTTTTATCAAATCTCTCCATTCAAGTGAGTTTTACCTCCCAATTGATGGTGATGTAAGATGTTTTTAATTTAATTTAATTGAAATTGAAATTTATGGTTACTGTCTTTATATACCACGCATATTCATTATGTATTTTATAATTGCACGAAAAAAGAAGAAGAAGATTTACAGGAATGAGGGTGGATTGTTTGAGAGAAGAAAATTGTGGATCATATTTTAGTTTTCGACAGACCAAAAGGAGCTACAACGCTAGAGAGAGATGTGGAGGCGCGTAGCTTCAGTTTCTCATCTGTTTTCTCATTCTAAATCAACCAAATTTAACCAGGTATACAATTGCACATTCGATAAGCTTGCATTCAATCACCAATTAGGATTTGTTTCCAGATAGAGTGATAATTGATTACTGACAGCAGGGAGCAAGCACATTCAAGATTTGGGAAACGTTTACCTCAGAATCAGAGATACCAACTCCGGTACGGATGAATTACATTATTTTGAGTCATGGGTTGGGGTCTGAAACAGTTTTGGAGACTATATATTTATACACAAATGATGAATTGTTTAATGAGATCTTAATCTATCAAAAAGAGATGCCATTTTAATTAATCATATTGACTAAATCATGTTGTTTGGAACTTTGGATGCAGTCGAAAGGTTCTCTGTTCGTAACTTTTGTTTTAGGTAAGGTTATGGCATTGTTTATAAGTGTTATGTTGCTTTGAAAAGAACCAAAGAGCTGGTAACATGTTGGTGCTCTCAATCTCAGGTGGCCCTGGCAGTGGAAAAGGTACTCAGTGTGCAAAGATAGTTGAGGCATTTGGGTTCACTCATGTAAGTGCAGGAGATTTGTTGAGGAGGGAAATAGCTTCCGGTAGCGCATATGGGTAATAATTGTTCATTATTGTTGTTCATGGTAGTTTCCTGTATGTGTTTTGTGGTCTTCTTAATTTCCTTGATTTTTGTAACTTCAATTTCAGCTCTGTGATTCTTAGTACAATTAGAGAAGGAAAAATAGTACCCTCTCAAGTGACAGTCGAACTCATTCAAAAGGAGATGGAATCAAGTGACAATTATAAGTTTCTGATTGATGGGTTCCCTCGAAGCGAGGAGAACCGCAAGGCATTTGAAAAAACTGTGAGTTTCCTTCTATTCAATTCTGTTTAATCTTTCAGAAAGTCTTGTTAGACCTGGCTGCAAGGATCAACTCAGTTTCTAGCAAACTCATACAATAAATAAGTTTATGAAAGAAAACTAAAGATATCATATCATGAATCCAACTGTGACATCTATAGTAGTATTTCATTTTTCAACCAAATTATTCCTCATCACTGGCTTCACCTAACTGTTGCAGATTGGCGCAGAACCAGATGTTGTGCTTTTCTTTGACTGTCCTGAACAAGAGATGGTGAAGCGAGTACTAAATCGTAATCAGGTGCTTATGTATTATAATTTTCTGTAGGGTTGAATTATGTGAACATATTTATCTAAAGTTTGATGTTTTATTGCAGGGCCGAGTTGATGATAATATTGACACAATCAAGAAACGCCTTGAAATATTCGATGAATTAAATTGGCCTGTTATCAATTACTACTCACAGAGGGGTAAACTTCACAAGGTAAATGACACATTCAAGGTTTGAGTGGATCCTGTCACTCGATACCTTAGTGTTTCTCATGTTTTTATATGAAGTTTTCTTTGCTGAATAGCTGATCCCTGTTATTCCGCTTTCATCTTTTTGTTTCAGACATGTATATTTAATTGTTAGTGTTTTTTTTTTTTTTCAATTCTTGGTGAGCTTATTGCCTTCCATTTTCTTCTGGTCTTACTTATAAATTGTCTGAACAATAAATTGGCAAGTTTATTTGTGCAGATCAATGCAGTGGGAACAGTCGATGAAATATTTGAAAAAGTTCGACCAATTTTTGCTCCATTGAGGTATATTCTGTTATTCTGTTTATCCAGTTTGCAGCATTTGTTGTCATTGATAATCCTGGTTCTCTTCTTCTTTATAGCACAAACTTTTATATGAAATGAAAACGCAGAGAACAGCCTAAAAGAATATGATTTTAAGCCACAAGTTAATGTGTGCCCATGCGTAAGGCCAATGAGGCAATAACTTGTTTTTCTTTCTGCAGCAAATGAACGTTTGAGTGAAAAATAACAGGGCATGTAAGATCATCTGGTTTTCAATTAAAGTACTCTGTCTTCTCTTTTTGGCAAAGATCACTGCGAAGAGTGGAAGTTTGTACCGAAAGAAGCATCGTGAAGTCTAAAGCAATGAATTATCAGATGGGTTAATTTTTTTTTCTACCCAGATTATTGCACTAGATGATGCATGTACCCAGCTTAAGCTGGAAGGAAAACTACGCAGCATAACTGGTTTGTTTCAATATAGAATAGTTTGAATTTATGTCAATATTTTGTGGCATCCACAGAAAAGGAAAAAAGAAATTTATCATTACTCTGTTGAATTCAAGATTTGCAATTGGGCCTTTTGGGTTACGTTTTGGCCTTCGTCGACACACTTTCTCCTCATATGAACTTTGTTCTTTCGGCCCTTCACATTGCTTTATCATGGAGGACTTGAATTAGGCCATATTGAAACCAAACTGTTGCAACAAGAACTCAAATCTTTTATGGATTAAAACCCAAACCCAAGTTTTAAAATCTTCTGACCAAGAACTAATGAAGAACTTAACTAGCTAC